CTTTCAATTTGATTTCCTCCTTTCGAGAGTTTTTGATTTCAAAGCATCATCCACCATGGCCAGTCGGGGTTGACTTGATGCCCCTACCGAAACTGGGTGCCTATTGAATATTAGCTTGTATCAAACAAAAGTCCTGTAAATGAGTCTTGTCATCCCTTCTTTGACTTAGTTTTGGAACAGAGTTAGACCGAAAGGGATTCAAAGAAAAACAAATAATGGAATGGACAATGAATTTAGACAAGAGGTATCTCTTTCGGGAAAAGGAAAGAATGACTTATCTGGAGTACATGCGAACTTCAATGAACATGACATACCTTTTGTATTGGATTCCTGATCTGTGTAAATAGTTTGACTCTCAGTAATTCATCACAACTTTTGCCTCGAAATCGAGAAACCTTGTCCAGGGCTGTGTCGATGCCAATGGTTGTGAAAATCCTCTTTTCGATCAGTAGTGCCCTTTGCGGGTTTTCACCAGCTGACCTATCTCGTTTCTCTTCTCACCATCGCCTTATAATGCCCTTTGCGAGTTTTCACTAACAAGACTCTCATTTTTAATTTCTCTACTTACCATCGTCTTACGGTGCATGTGAGGTTTTTCACCAACAAGATTCTCTCATTTTATTTCTTTCATTTGGTTGTATCAGATCTAAGTGATTGTATCCTCCAATTCTTGAACATTCTCATTGATTGATCGGAAGGATTTGGATTGAATTACAACTTTGGAACCTTTTAGGCGAAACCATCGCCGAAACATTGTAACATCTGCCCACTTTTAACTTTTTGGGGGAATGGATTTTATTTTGGTGTGACTGAACCCCAGAGAGAGGCTGCCTACGTATCCTTTCGGAATCAAGTCGAACGTAGTTCAATGAATATGAACTGTTTTGATTTTGTTTTGTTTTCTTTTTCTTCTTATTTATTTTTTAAAATATTTTTTTTATTTTTCTTCTTATCTTCCTTTTTTGTCTTCTTTGTTTTTCTTCTCTTTTTTCTTTCTTGTTTCTTTTTTTTTAAAAATAATATCTTCAGGTTCCAAATAGGGTAATCAAAGAACGGTAACCGGCTCAAAGGGCTGGCAAAAAGGGTTAATGGTATTTTGGTAGCGAGAATGAAAGCCTTAATCATCCCAATCGGAGAACATTAATGTTGCACAAAAGATCAAACATAGTACCTTTTGACTGCATCCGCGTTGACAGTTATTTCAGAGACATTTCCTTCGATGATTCCCAAGTACAACGTTCTCTTTTGGCAGTACTCTCGTTATATTGTATGGACCTTTTCAATTTGGAGACAATTTTTTTTAGCTTCTTCATGAGGTGGAAGGATACGTCTCAAAATGAATTGTCCTATTTCAAATTTCATGTGCCGCACTTTCTTGCTGTAGACACGGGACATTCTTTGTTGGTACAACTGCCCGTGGTAAACTGCGACCAATTATTTTTCATCAATTAGTGTCAATTATTCCAATCGGTTCTTGACCCAATCTTTATCCTCAATATCGGCTTCAACAATGATCCGAAGAAAGGGAATCTCAACTTCGTTCCAATTTTCTATTTATTTTCTTACAAGCCTTGTCTTCAAAATATTTTATTTCTTGATTCATTATATCGGGGTTTGATAACGTTTTAGGATCTGAGCATGAAGTCCGCAAGCATGTCATGTTACTAAAATCTATATTTAACGGAACTAAAAAGAGAATAAGAAAAATGACAAGATAAACGAGAAAGGGATTCATTAACGATGAAATATTGATTTCATTTGTTTGATTTTTTTTAAGATAGAAGGGTTTACATCAGAAAGTAAAGGCAATAAAGTAAAACATCTGGATCACACCATGAAATAATCCGGAAGCAGAAAAGACAGGAAAATCGGCTACCAAGATTCCCGCCTGACAGAGAACTTTTCAGGTTTGGCGCCCGTTTTTAGGTTTCTCTTCTGCCGCGGCAATGGCTACTATGGTCTCCACTCCCTAGTCTTCTTTTACAACATAGGGTCTCAACTCCCTAGTTAATTTTATTTTAGACATAGAGTCTCCACTCTCTAGTCTCCTTTCCAACATATGGTCTCCACTCCCTAGTTGATGATATTTTAGACATAGGGTCTTCACTCCCTAGTCTCCTTTCCAACATAGGGTCTATACTCCCTAATTGATGATATTTTAGACATAGGGTCTCCACTCCCTAGTCTAATTTCCAACATAGGGTCTCCACTCCCTAGTCGATGTTACTTTAGACATAGGGTCTCCACTCCCTAGACTCATTTTCCAACATAGGGTCTCCACTCCCTAGTTGATTTATTTTAGACACATGGTCTCCACTTCCTAGTCTCTTTTCCAACATAAGGTCTCCACTCTCTAGTTGATTTTATTTTAGACATAAGGTCTTCACTCCCTAGTCCTTTTTCTAACATAGGGTCTCCACTCTCTAGTTGATTTTATTTTTAGACATATGGTCTCCCACTCTCTAGTTGATTTTATTTTTAGACATATGGTCTCCCACTCTCTAGTTGATATTTCCCAACATAAGGTACACAATCCTTAGTTGAGGCTTCATTTAGACAATAAGGGTACACCATTTCCAACGAATCATGTTTTCTCCGGGTACATCTTTCCCGACCTTTTTATTGCTTTCGATAATTAAGTAGCATAGAGTTTTATTACAAATAACTCACGAAATTTTCCTAGTGAAAAGTGGGGCAGAAAAATTTCGTTTGTTTGTTTGTTTTGGTGTCTGAGCAGGTTTTACCTCGAAGCACAAGGTTTGAGATGATCAAAAGAAGAAGTCTCAATCCAGAATAAAGAAAAAAAAAGAAAAAAAAGTGGATCCAAAATGCAGAAGCGGATGAAATGATGTGGACTGCTCAAGACATGACTAAAGTCACGAGCATTGCATTTCCCATTTTGATCACAAAAAGCCGTGGAAGAATGAACTAGCACATGCAGCTAGCAAGCATCAAGATTCAGATTAGAGTATACATGAAGAACCAGTCAAGACTCAAGATCAAGTTTCAGAAGACTTATAGATAAGAATCTTGTAACTCGTAGCTAATAGACTTGTTTAGTTACTTTTTTATTTTGATTTTTGGTGTAATAAGGAGTTCAACAAGCAATAACAACAGTGAAATCACAGTTCCCCGGTAGTCCCAGCTACCAAAACTTCCAGAACTACACTGACCTGATTCCTTTATAGCCAAGGATATGTAAGAAACCTCCGAAGCAATGTTCGGTCAAACTTTTTCAAAATGCTTCCCATGGAGAGTCAAACGGGCAAAAATTGCTTAATTTATCTTTGCACGAAAACTCTTCATGTTCTCGAGCAAAGATGGGCAGTTGTGAGCACGTAATTTTTGTCAAATATATAAAATTACTCCTAAAAATCTCAAAAAATAGCTTTTAATTATTTTACAGAATTTAAGGAATTTTTTCTATATTTTACTTGATTTGTTTTGTGCGTATTTGTGTTTGGTGCATTTTTAGTAGCATTTTAAATCCCAAGAAATAACAAAAATATTTTAATCTTTACATTTTTAGATTTTAATTGCATTTGTAAAATATTTTATTAAAATACCAAAAATACATTAGGCACTTTACATGCATTATTAGTTAAATAAATTAGTTAATTGTTAGAGTGTAAGTTCAGCACTGAGCCAGTGGAAGTGGGCATGGATGTGAGGCTTGATTCGCAGGTCATCCCGAGTAGAGGCAGCTTCAAGTACCTTGGTTCGGTTATCCAAGGGGGATGGGAGATCGACGAGGATGTCACACACCGTATTGGGGTAGGATGGATGAAGTGGAGGTTAGCATCTGGAGTCCTGTGTAACAAGAGAGTGCCACTGATACTCAAAGGTAAGTTTTATAAAGCGGTGGTTAGACCGACCATGATGTATGGGGCTGAGTGTTGGCCCGTTAAGAACTCATATATCCAGAAGATGAAAGTAGCAGAAATAAGGATGTTGCGGTGGTTGTGCAGGCACACTAGGATAAATAAGATTAGGAATGATGATATTCGGGAGAAGGTGCATGTGACTCCCATTGATGACAAGATGCGGGAAGCGAGGCTTAGATGGTTCGGACATGTTCAGAGGAGAAGCCCAGATGCTCCGGTACGGAGGTGTGAGCAGCTGGTAGTGGAGGGCACGAGAAGAGGTAGAGGGTGGCCTAAGAAGTATTGGGGAGAGGTGATCAGGCAGGATATGGCGATGCTCCATATTTTCGAGGACATGACACTTGATAGGAAGATGTGGAGGTCGAGTATTAGGGTTGAAGGTTAGGAGGTAGTTGAGTCGTGCCTTACTTCGTAACATGGTGGGACTAGCCATGTAAGGTTTTGTTTTCTAAGATAACTAGTGGGAATGTTGTGGCTTACTATTTCGCTTTTCACTGCATGTCCTATTTACTAGCTTCGCTTTTGCTTTACATCTTTTTTCTAGATTTCATGGTGTTCCTATTTTTCTTATGACTGTTGTGGTGATACTAATATTTACTAATATTGTCTCCCTTTACTTTGCATCTTTCTTCTGGATTTCATGGTGTTCCTATTTATCCTATGATTGTTGTTGTGATACTAATATTGTCTTCCTTTTTGCCCTTTTGTCTTTTTATTTTTTTTGAGCCGAGGGTCTTTCGAAAATAGCCTCTCTACTCCTTCGGGGTAGGGGTAAGGTCTGTGTACACACTACCCTCCCCAGACCCCATTAGTGGAATTTTACTGGGTTGTTGTTGTTGTTGTTAGAAAATTAGTTAAATGGATTAAATTTGCAAATTAGTTTTAAATTAGGAGTTGTTAAGATAAGTGGCCAATTTTGAAAATAAAACAAAGAAAGGAAAGATGGGTGGGTCTGCCGAATTGGGCCAGTTTCAGCGGCCCAACCTCCATGTCAGCCCAATATCTGACCCGGTCCAACAACCCTTTCTCCCAAGTCACCAAACGACGTAGTTTAACATAAAAACTACGTCGTTCCATTCCCCTCACTTACTAAAACACCCCATCTCCCAATTTCCCTTAGATAGAGCGGACCCCTCCCTCTTTTACACAAATAAAACCCTAGCCCCCCTAATACCTTCATCCTCTCAAGTCAGCCGCCGCCCCTCTCTTTCTTTTTCTCTACATCACACAAGCCTATTCTATCATCTGGATACACACACGAAATCTATCATCTGATATTCTCACAAACACACACGAAATAGCTGAAAAACAGATCCGAAATTCGAAAATTAAGAAAGAAATCTGTAAACAAAAAGAAAAACAGTGGATTTCAATGGATTTTACATTGGAAGTGATTCAAAGGGCTGGATTTTTTTTTGGCTGATTTGAGAGAGTTCTCCATTTGTTTCTGGGTTTGCAATCTAGAATGAATCTGCAATTTGCTGCTGTTGTCGATTGTTGAGTAGCTGATATCCATTCCTCATTTTAGACCTTTATTTGGTCGTCTACTACTGTTCTGCTATTGTTAGATGCGTTTGCTTATTTTCTATTGTCCTCTATTTGACTATGAATGAATATTTGAGTGCTAATTCTATGAACATGCTAAATCTTGTGGAATCCGGATGTTTTGACTGCCAGATCTGTCTGCTTGTTTCTATCTGTCGATGATTGTTTTTAAAAAAAAACTGAATTAGTCATTAGTTAGTCGTGGGGGATTGTTATCCAAATAGCCGTCCAGATTCAATATTTACCTTTTCTAACCAGTATATATATATATATACACATCGGCGATTGTTACATTAAGAGATTAGATAAGCGACTATTTGGTGGATGTGTGTGAAATCAAGTTGTGATCAAAACATTACAAAGCCTCGTATGGTCCAAGCCCGAAATCCAACTTGGTGAGCCCAATGTCAAAATTGCAGTTGAGTCTGCTCTTTAAAACCACAAAGGGTAAACATGGAATTTCAGACATAGCATAACAGCCAAGTTGCATTTTATAAAAGTACCCAGGGCCAGGGGCAACAACGAAACCTCCTAATAATAGATGCTTCCATTTGTAAATTGCAATAATTTCACTGTTTTTAAAAAAGCACATTCATTTGTAGAAAAACAAAAAGAAGAAAAAAGTAAATACAGATTCTTTGGTGACCCTCTTCTCATTTCTTCAACTTTAAATCCCACCGCTTGATTTTTTCTTTTATTTAAAAAAATTGAAATTGCCTTTATATATACGGATAAAATACACCTAATTATAAATCTTTTTTTCTGGGTTTTGTCGATTTTGCCTCCTTTTCCTTTCTCAAGTACTTGCCATAGACTATCTTTTTTTCCTTTTTTCTTCTGAATAATTCAATCAATCTCGATATGTTTCACTTATTTGGTAATCTGTTGATTGCTGTGATTTTTTTACTGTTCCATCTGAATTTTGGAAATTGGTATTATTGGGATTGGATTTTAATATTAACTAATTTCATCCATATTTGGTGTTAATTGTGTTTTTGTTGGGAATTATGTTTATTTAGTTAGCTGAATTATTGGGGCTTAGTGCTAATATCTTGATCTAGGGTTCAGGTTTTGATTTTTGGGGTTTCATTTCTGTATTTAGTTAGATCAATTCTTCCTATTTCTGGTATATTTCTGAGTAAAATTGAGTTTTTAAGGTGTGCAATTGTTTAATTTTTGGTTGATTTGATGCCTTATTTGGATAAGCCTATATTAGAATGTTAAGATTTTGTTTGGACTTTGGATAAGCCTATATTAGAATGTTAAGATTTTGAGAGTTCTGATACTAATTTTGGTAATTTTGTAACTGCAAATGGACAGATTTGTAATCTTTATTTGGGCATCCGTTGGGAGACCTTAAAGTAGGAAGGAATCAACATGAGCTTGTAGTAGAGAAAGGGCTGGATCCATGTATAGAGCTTCAGATGAGTCAGATGAGGATTACACAGTTGATGAGTCAGAAGATGGATGTTCTTCTTTTGTCGGAGATGAGTCAGATGAGAGCTTAGGTGAATTTGAAGATGAGGAGGTCGAGGAATTGAAGACGAAGCCGATTAAAAAGGTTGTTCGATCAGGAGAACCAAGGAGAAACAGAAAAGGCACTGTAAGGCCTAGAAAGAGAAAGAGAGTTTCATATAGAGAAGATGACGATGATGATGATGAGGAATTCACACCAGATGGCTTGGATGCAGATGAGGATTTGCCAGTAATGAACGGGATGAAGAATTTGAGCAAGTCACGGTTGCGTAAGGGCACTGCCAAAGATCATGATGAAGAGGATGAGGATGATGAGGATGATGAGGAATTCACTCCAGATGGCTTGGACGAAGAAGAAGATGAAGAAGAGTTTCCAGTATTGAAAGGGATGAAGTATTCAAGCAAGCCACAATTGCGTAATAGCACTGCCAAAGAGCAGAAGAGAACTAGAAATCATAAAGAATTGAAAAGGATCACGAGAAAGAAACCGCAGAACAGACGCCGATTGAAAAGGAAAGCAAGATCTGAAAATGATGAGAAGTTCATAGACGTCGATCCAGTTTTGGCAGAAACGAATAAAAAGAACGCAGGTCAGAGGAGAAAAAGAAAGAGACTAAGAGTAGATTCGGATTCAGATTTTGTTGAGAGTTCTGGATCATCTCACCGTGAGTTTACCATCTCTGAAGAAGAGAGGGAACAAGTCAGAGAGGCTAGCCGATTTTGCAGGGGCCTTGTTACAGCTTGGAGGGGCTCAGCTTCCTTGAAAAATTTACCGAAAGAGGAAGCTCCGCGTCTACAAAGAAAATATCCAGGAAGAAAGGATAAAGAGAAAGTGGATTTGAAGACTGAAGTAGGAAAGCAGATTTGTGGAATATGTTTGTCGGAAGAAGGTAAGAGGACAGTTAGAGGGACATTGAATTGCTGCAGTCATTACTTTTGTTTTGCTTGCATCATGGAGTGGTCCAAAGTGGAATCCCGCTGTCCACTGTGCAAGCAAAGGTTTGTAATGATTAGTAAGCCTGCAAGGTCAGACACTAGCTTTGAATTGAGGACTGTGGCTTTTCAGGTCCCTGAGCGTGATCAGGTATAGTCCTTTTTTCCTGTGGTAAACCTATATATTCATTTAGTTAAGATGTTAGGTTTGATGATTATGAAAATAAGATGTTAGGTTTGAAACACAAAAATACCAGAATTTCTAACTGCAATCAAATGTTTATAATTGTGTTTATAGGTCTATCAACCATCTGAAGAGGAGCTTAGGGGTTACATTGATCCATACGAAAATGTATTATGTACAGAGTGTCAGCAAGGTGGGGATGATGCTCTTATGCTGCTATGTGATCTCTGTGATTCACCTGCACATACTTATTGTGTTGGTCTTGGACATGAAGTACCTGAAGGTAACTGGTACTGTGAAAGCTGTCGGCCAACTGCACTTGCTTCTTCAAACCCACAGAATATGAATCCTACCCCTGATATTAATAGAACAAGCAGCAATTTTTCTATTGGGTCACCCCCTGTAGCCAATGTGAGGGAGACATTTGACCTTAATGAAATGTACGTACCTGATACCCCTTTGGCTGAAGAATCCGGTGGTTTTCAATCTCCCCGAGATGGTCGAGTTGCTTCTCCAGCTTCTGGGGTTGGGGCATCGACGGTTTTTGACCGACGTAGAATACAACGGCAAATAAATCAACTGCTTAATAACAGGAGGAGACAACTTGGTAATGTTAATGGGACCTTGGTTGCTGTATCAGGGAATAGTCTCGTTGGCTCCCAAATTGCTCGAAGCAGGGAATTAGCAACTCAACCTGCTGTAGCACAAAGGGCAGCTCCTCATAGTACATTTTTCCAGGGAAGGCAACTGGAGAGTAATGCTCGTTTATCTCATAATCGGAATATTTTACCTGAAAGGTCAAGTAATTTGAGTGGGCAACTGAATCTGAATGAAGCCTCTACATCATCGCAGAGTTTTTTGGGTGAATTACAAGGTACCGATGCAAGTATCAGCTTGGCTTTGGTTCATCAGCAACTCCATCCCCTCAGTAGCATATCTTATGTGGGGCCTGATACTAGCCCATCTCCTTGTCCATTTAGAGAGGTGAGCTCCTTTAATTGAAAAAGGAACACGTATAATCAACGGTTAGAAGTTACTAAAAGCTAGTCCATAGACTTCAGGTATAGTGGAATGATTAGATTAAACTGTACAGCGATGTGGTTAAGCATAAATCAAGTCTTGTGGTCGTTCACACTCCAATCTTTCTATGCCAGTGAAACATGACTCATGCCTTTTAAACATTTATTTGTGTCCAGGAACTGATCAGAGCCTAGAAAGGTTTCCACTGCTTTGTAAAACGTGCATTTTAGCTTGACTTCTTACACTTTCCGCCACCACTTTTACCAGCTTTGGGTCCGGACGACCCAAGAGCCCGCCACTAGAACCCAACCCTTAAGAGGCTAAGGTCCAAGGGGCCCCTTTGGAATCACTGAATTTGCTTTACTTGTTTTTTTTTGGTACATTAATTTGCTTTACTTGCTAATGAATTTGAATCCAATTTTCGCGGACCAATACATCATATCAATATTTTTAGCTAGCTAACTGAGTATCAAAAAAATCCGTGAATGTTTATGACTTTGATAATTTTAAGCAATTACACCTTCCTAGTATTATTTCTTTTCTTTTTCCCCCTGAAGTTATTGTTGTGATGTATTAGATTCTGAATGAATTGCATGCTTTGATACAGTCTACAGTACCTTCAAGGACATTGCCTAGCACTTTAAGAAGACCATTTTAGCTGCATGTGCGGTGGGACGAAGTTCTCCTTGTGCAGTTCACACCTTAATCTGTAATTATGTTGGAGACCAGCTTGCAATCACTCATAGGGGGTGGAGGACCAGTTATCTTCTTGCTTCTTTTTGTACTTAAGCTACTATAATGGTGGGGGAAATCATGAGTAGGAGACTTATGCTGTTGAAGCATTGGAATTTGATTCGCGTCGTTAGCTCACCATTCTTTCTATCCATTGACCATGCCAGAGAAATCCATTTTGTTAGGATAGCATTTTCTCTTTTATACCTGTATATCCCGTTTTACTGACAAAAGATGCCTTGATTGCTGTTGAAGATATGCCACCATTTTTCATTGTTAATTATTAGCAAATTTGTTATCCGACAATGAGCTGTCATTGTGTTGGGATATGTTGGGATTTTACCAATGATCAAGATGCTTACTAATTGCTGTTTTCTGTAATATAACTGGTTCTTGGTGGCTTATATCCTTAAAAGTTTATTGTTCGCTTATAGTGGCACGGCAACGCTGGCTAGTGCTTTTCTTGATCAGGTTGTTATCCTGGATAGTATTGTCCACAGACAATCGCTACGTTAACTTACATTAAAAGAAATCGTAAAACGTTAAAACCAAGTGCTTCCATCTAATGCTTTGATCAAACATGTCTTTTCTTCTTTTTCTCCTTCTCTTTTGATACCGTGTAGAATTATTAATTGCCCTGGAGATGAAGAGAAACTGACTAAGAAAAACTCTAGTTCTGAACAGATGCACCTTGGAAAGACAACAAGAAAAACAGGAACGAAAAAATTGTACTTCCTATGCCTAATTTATGTGTCACGCTTTTTTCTCTTCAAAACTTTCTAGTTTCTACAATTTAACTTTAAAATTTGTTAGTTTACCCTTAATGATTTAAGCACATGGATATCATGGGACCAGCTTTTAAGCCCTTTTTAGATCTTTTTAGATTTTTGAAGTGTTTGAAAAATAAGAAAACTGCTTAAGAAAGGGTTAAAAAGGGCTTTAAAAAAGTCAAAAGCCACAAGTTGGCTGACCTAACTTTTCCGTTTTTGGCTTAAAAGTCACCTTATTTTGACCAATAAAATTACTTACTTGTCCCTTATAACTTTTACTAATCCCAAAACTATCCTTATCAAATAAATCCTAAAACATCGAACTACTCCCACTTTCTTCATTTTATAAGCCTCTGCTCATCTTCTTTCCTCTTCTTCTCCTTCATCTTCACTTGTTCAGTATTTCCACTCAAGTTTTCAGTGGAAATCGATCTTCTTTATATGCTTTTTCTTTGAGGTATGGGAATATCCAGATTATCCCAAACTTGGTTTAAGGCTTTGCATTTAAAAAAAAAATGGTAACAATCATTTTGCAAGATTTATGTTTGGTGATGGTCCGCTTATGTAGAAATTGATGTTTGGCAGAATGTTATATAATAAGCAGAGGAAGATGTAGGTTCTTGATTTGTTTTAGGCAATATTTTTGTTTTTTTAACAGAAAAAATGCTTACTGGTACTTGTTTACCAAACACTTCTAATATTTTTTTTTAAAGTTTTATCACTTTTATCCAAACATGTAATTACTTATTTATAAAACAAACTCATGCACTTAAAAGCTATTTTTTTCAAGCTAATCTAAACGGGCTCTATAAATTTTTTTAAAAAATCTTTCTTGTTATAAAATAAAAGCAACTTAGTAAAACATGAACAAGACATGTTGTTATGAAATAAAAGCAATTTAGTAAAACATGAATAAGAAATGGAGATAGAAAGAAGGAAGAGATTTTCTTCTTCAATTGTGTGTATTTTCTTATCTATTACAAGACCTTTATATAGGCATGAAAAGTGAAGAAAAATATGTCATTGAATATGTCATTAAGCATAAAAATATGTCATTGAATATGTCATTAAGCATTTGAGAAGATCATGGAGGAAGAGTAGACATCCACCATAATTTGATTTTTCTTATAACACTCCCCCTTGGATGTCCATAGATAATGTGCCTCGTTAAAACCTTATTAGGAAAAAACCCTATGGGAAAAAAATTCCTAGTGAAGGAAAAAGAGTACACATGTTTAGAAATCCGTTTTTTGGTTGCCTCGTTAAAAACCTTGTAAGGAAAACCCAGTGGGACAAAACCTTGTAAGGGAAAAAGAGTACAACGCGTATTAACTCCCCCTGATGAGAGCATCAATTCACACCCTTGAGCCTTCGCATCCCAATCTTGTACACTAGTTTCTTGAAGGTTGACGTCGGTAGAGATTTGGTGAACAAATTAGCCATATTATCACTTGAACGGATCTGTTACACATTGATATCACCATTTTTTTTAAGATCATGTGTGAAAAATAACTTTGGTGAAATTTGCTTTGTCCTATCCCCTTTATAAATCCTCNCAGTAGTTCCTTTTAGATACCGCAATATATGTTTGATTTCATTCCAATGTCTCATTGTAGGAGCAGAGCTATAACTTGTTAAGATATTAACTGAAAAAGTTATGTCAGACCTTGTAATGTTAGAAAGATATATTAGTGCTCCAATTGCACTAAGATATGGTACTTCGGGACCAATAAGCTCTTCATTATTTTCATGAGGTCGGAATGGATGTGCTTTATCCATATATAATCGCTTTAAAATCATTTTAGTGTATGCTGATTGATGGACAAAAATTCTATCTTTCATATACTTAATTTGGAGACCAAGACAAAATTCTGTCTTTTCAAGATCTTTCATTTCAAATTCCTTCTTTAAATAGTCTACTGCTTTAGGAAGCTCTACTGCTTTAGGAAGCTCCCTAGGAGTTCCAATGATATTTAAATCATCAACATACACGGTGATTATAACAAATTTAGATCCAGATTTTTTTATAAAGATACAAGGACAAATTGAATCCTTCTTGTACCCTTCTTTTAACAGGCACTCACTCAGGCGACTATACCACATGCGCCCTGATTGTTTCAATCCGTATAAGGATTTTTGAAGCTTTATTTAATAAATTTCTTGGAAACCTTAATATGCTTCAGAACAATTTAAATCCTTCAATGATTTCCATTATACGCATATCACGTTTTTCTTGTATTGCCAGATTAAAACCTGAAATGACGACATCCACCACAGGAGAACATGTCTCTATATAATCAATGCCAGGATATTTATAAATTTTCTTGTGACACAAGTCGCCTTTATGTTTATCGACTTGCCTTTTTTTTTTCCGCACAAGAACGCATTTATACCTCCACTGGCTTTATACTTTCAGGTGTTGGGACTATCCGTCCAACTTCATATTTTTCAGGTGAAATCAATTTTTATTGCGTATTTTTCATTTGACCAATTATTTATCTGTCCAAATTTCATGATAGATTTGAGCTCAAGATCCTCATCAATATTAATAATATTGAGCGCTACATTATACTAATAATATCGTCGACGATCATTTTATATCGGTTCTACTATTACCCAATAAAGACATAACTTATTGAGATTTCTTTATCGTTTTATGAAGTGTTATGTCGTGGTGCTCTTCTAGAGCACTTGCCTCCTTATTATGACCATCTTGAACATTTGCTCATCTCCCTTTTCAAGGAGTTTTATCTTTGGAACCGATTAGTCTATTATGCTTCATGCATGCCATAGACTCTATTCATTATGAACTTTATTTCATTTGGAGCATTAGCAGCTGAATATGATATTTAACTTTGGGTCAGCAAATAAGTCTGGAAATATTTTGCAAATGAATTATCCCTTGAACTTCAAGTTCACATTTTCTCATACGAGGATCTAGATGTACTCATAATAATTCATTACATGCATTACTTTTTCAGTTGTCCATTTTCTCCCCCTATTTTTGGGATCACCGACACATATCCCTAGCCTTATTTGGGGATCCATCTTTGTATATTGTGCTGGAACAATTAAATCATATAGCACATTCATATTTCTAGATAGAAATTATTTGGTTCCTGACCCTGAACCGATTGTGATAGGAAGAACTTATCTTAATTTGGCTAGATGCGTACAAGTGCTGTTGTATATTAAATAATACATCACATACCAAATTTTATTTTGGTAATTTTGTTCTCATAACTAATGGTTTGGTTATAATTGGAGGCATACAATTTCTGCTAAACTAACTTGGATTTAAACCAGTATTATCAAGATAAATAATCATAATTTATATTTTAGAACTGTGCTCTAATAATTTGAGCAATCAATCTTGCAAAAGCCAAGCTGCAAGTTGATAACAAATGCACGTATGACCAAAGAATAGATGCATCTATTAAAATCATATAATAGTAAACGGTCGACATGGCAGGTGACTGGACCCATATATTTATCACTTTTTATTAGTTCCAGAAATCAAAGGATTCAATCCCAACTTTAACTGATATATCATGAGAATAAGCAGCACAAGAGAATTCTTGAAGAATCTTATATTTCTTCAATATATGTCAAT